TCTGCACCAGGAGAAAAATGGGCAGCCTCCTCTGACAGGATTTACAACCTCAGAAAACCCACTGGAGGGTCTCAACAGCAATGACTTTGAATGCCTAGCATATCTATCTGAAAGATTACATTTGTTTTTCTATCATTTTCTGTTTTCCTGGATTCATACTTCACATATTCTACTTACTGATTATTAATAGAGGCTTACAGCTATTTCTTCTCATTTTGAATCATACGCCTTTGCAAATTAAACCCCACAAAACTTTACACCATTCATATTATTTAACCTCAAAACTATTTTGATTAATAACCGACAGTGTTCTACTGGTGTTTATAAAGTTTTTACTGGTCAGTGGTTTTAGAAGTCGATGAGGAGATACTTTTTTCTGGTCTAAATTAGTCTAAAAATAGAAGAAAAATGTGCACCTGATCCAGGCCATGGTCTTTGCAATCACTTGCTATGCATTAGAGAGCTGGACAATGACTAGGGATGATAGAAGGAGAATTGATGCCTTTAAGCTGTGGTGTTGGAAAATAGTATTGAATATACCATGGACTGCTAAGAGAACGAGCAGGTTTGTCCTGGAGAGGGTGAAGCCAGGCTGCTCCTTGGAGGCAAGGACTCTGAAGCTTTGCCTAACATACTTTGGACATGTTGCAAGGAGGGACCAGTGCTTGGAGAGGGACATCATGCTTGAGAGGGTGGCAGGACAGCATAGAAGAGGAAGACCCTCGATGAGATGGATTGATTCAGTGACTGAGGTAGTGGTGATAGGTGTGTCAGAGACAATAAAGCTGGCACAGGATAGAGTGGGGTTTAGGGCTTTTGTACATAGGGTTGCTATGAGCTGCAGGTGACTTGATGGCACATAACACCTACAACAACAATAACAAATAATTAGTGTAGAAGTTTTACTGAAATATATCCAATATGGGCAGCTTTACTGGTATTTGAGAAGCCAATAACATAGCTTCCAGCATGACAGTGATATGCAAGTTATAGCAGTATATTCAGTGAACCACCAGACAATTGGTGATTTGTAGATTATATACTCTACCTAATCTTAAGGTAGCTTTGGTGCCTTAGTGGTATGGAGTTGTGCTGACAACCTGAAGGCACACAGTTCAAATCCACTAGCTGCTCTACAGAAGACAGACAATTTCTTCCCATGTGATTTATAGCCTCTGAAAACCCTTGATGGTCTGAAATGTATTTCAAAGGAGTTCATATGTAGAAAGCACAGCAGTTAAGCCCTTAATTGCTACTGCAAAGTGGGCAATTCAGACTCAGTAACTATTCTGGGAGAATGACTTTGTTCGCATAAAGATTGTCTTGTGCTGTATTTCATTTTCTTAAAATAACAACAAAGAAATTAAAATGTAAAACCAATCCAACTAACTACCGTGTCATGGTCACACATAAAAATACTAATAGTAGTTCCTATTCCTTTTGATAGTGCCGCAGAAATAGTTTCTCTTTGAGTATTTTCTTGTGGGGAGCTCAAAGAAGAATTCAAGTGGTACAGTGGTTAAATGCTCAGAGGCCAGTAGTTTGTGGTTCAAATTCACTGGCTGCTCCAAGAGAGAAAGAAGCTGTGGTCTGTTTCCACATGACTTACAGCCTCAGGCGCATTAACGAACAATTCTGCTCTTTCCTCTGGGGTTGCTAGGAGCTGGAATTTACTGGGTGGCAATTGATTAGGGTGGTTTTGTTTTGTGTTAAAAGCTTGAAGGCCCTTTATAAACTGTAGACATGCTGACTATTTTAAACCTACTTTTAAGGCCAAAAATTTAGCATGTTTACTGAATGTTGCTTATTACTAAATTCACAGGTTTTGCAAAAGGGGTTGAATAGTGCACCCTTCATATAAAGAATAAATAGCATCTGTAGTACCCACAAAAATAAAAAAGAACCAAACACACAAAAACACCAGCCCTTGATGATGCACAACAATGACAACACAACCTTGAAAAAAATAAGATCTTGTGGGACAAGAAACACTTGAGATAAATTGTTATAAGAGGACTCTTGGCAACTGTTTAATCAAATAGTTAATTCCTGAGAATAACTCTGCAAATGTTATACTTTTTTACTTCCCCAGTTCACATTCTAAAAATAATGCAGTTTTTAGAAGTAAGAATTTAATAGATATTTGGACTTTATGCTACTTAATATATTATTTTTCAGGGTTTTGTTGTGTTATATTTCATTGAGTCAGAACCTACTCATAGCTGAGTCTCTGACAAGTTTTTAGAGGCAATTAATCACAGGAGAGGAGATTGTACTTCCTTCTCTCAGGGAGCAGCTACTGAATTTCAACCAGGATTGATTGCAGTGCAGCTTCTTGCCACTAGATCACCAGGCTCATCAATTATATATCACTATTTTTCAGAGGTTCTTAAAATGTCTTCTTTCCCACCCAGATATTGGAAAAGTACTAAGAAATTATACTTTGCCTTAGATTGTAGAAGATTCCCCCCCTATTTTAACTGTATAAAGTTCAATCTTTATTTTACGTCTGCATAGTTGCCATTTTTTAGACTTATTAAGTAAGCAAAAACTCTCTCTCTATATATATCTGTGTTTTGTCTCCAATTTCACATTCTATGCAATCATTTCTTGAAAATACTATGGGTCTTCCTAAAACAGTCAATCTAATTTGTGAGTGTGGATGTGTTTTTATTGATATATTTTAAATGTATTAGACTTAAAACATATAACATGTATAAATCTATGATAAACAACTTTTGCATGTCAGAGGAAATAGCATATTATTTAACCTGCAAATTTTGGTGAAATTTTTTTTTTACCTCTTTTATTGTCCCACTGATTATCTTGTTTTCGTCTCCTAAATCCCAGACTACTATTGTTTAGAGGAGAAAAGGTACATGCAGGATTTTTTTCTGCTTTTGATTTTTGATGCATGTTTTGAAAGTTTTCTTTATTCCAACAGTGATAGTGGAAATTAAAGAAAAAAGTTAAAATAATAGTTAGAACAATTTTACAAAGAATAAGATGATGTTATCACTAGGACATTTATATGTACATTTTTCACATTATTAATATTTTTAGTCTTTATATTACACATTGGTTAATAATGTGCTTAATGAGGCAACTAGTACAGTAATATATGATGACTGATTACCTTGTTCATATTCTGAATACATTTAAAGTAAAATTACCATCAGTTTTATAGAACCTTACAAAATGAGTGGATTTTGTTTTGTTTTGTTTTTAATTCTTTCATAATAAGCTCTTTCAGTTTGAGTAAGCCAGAGCTAAACTTTGATCTCATTTGTTTTCTGTAGATCCTGCTGTGCGCCTAGCATTGTTCAAAAACAGTAGAAGTAAAGCTCTTGTTACAAACTCACCAAAGAAGACACAAAACAGAAGAGAGAAATACTGTGAAGGTATGGTGTTGGCATACAGTCAAGTACAAAGTATAAATGAAGCTTAAAAATGTTATTTGAAACAAACTTTTAAAATTCACCATTAGTTCAAAAATTCATATGCTAAAAATTATGTATAAAACATACATGAATTGTAGTTAAATTATGACTCAGAGAAGTAAAATAGCAATTGAGTATACTCATACATAATTATTGATAGGTTATAATTTGTTTCAGTGATCCTGTGAACATTAAAAGATTATTTTTTTTGTGTAATTATGGCATTTTTATTGTTATGTGCTATTTAGTGAACTGTGACTCAGAGTGACCCTATGAATAATAGCTCTGAATCCTGGCCTAGCCTGAGCCAATCAAAGTGTCCCCAGCACAGTTGTTCCTCTTACTGTATTACTACACATAATCTAGGGTCTTTCTTTTCTGATCTGACCTTTCAATCCTCCAAGCATGATGTCCTTCTCCAAGGACTG